GCGAAACGTGTAGCATTCGCCTGAGCCGCGATGAGCATCGCATTCAGGCCAAAAGTTTGTTAAGCACAAATGTATACGGGAAGGGCAAGTAGCACGGGAAGAGGACATGATAATGGAAACGCAGACAATTTCCTTGGACGGAGGGCGGTCGGGACCTCCTCAAGGAGTCAAATATAGGCAGTTCCCTTGCAAGTGCGCTGAGCATCTGACTGAGCGCGACTGGCGTGGCAGGGCAAAGAGAGATGCAAGAAGCTCTCAAGCCTTCGAGACAGACCCCCCTTGCAATTTGATCAGCAAGTCGACGACACGATCAACTAGCGGCTTCGTAAAGCCGATTGCGGAGGTTTCGGCAGCCATACCTTGCGCGTGCCAGACCTGTGCAGACGGATTAGCCGCAGCGCAATGCGAGGAATCGAGCCTGGCTTCAGTGAAACAGCAAGCGATGACACTGCCACGGCGCCCTCGCTCACCTTTACCAGCGGCATTCCGGTGAGCGTAATGAAAGTCACGGTCCAGATGTTTCCCCAGACGCCTTGGACCTTGATAGCGGTGAGAGACGTGAAGAGGTCCTCCAAGAGCACGCCGACGCCGGACATGGTGAAGAACCAGGTGCTGGTGTAGTTCCTTGCTCCCCAGCCTTGCCGAGAATGAAATAGAGCCTTTTCCGGGTCGGAAAGGGCAGCTGGAGCTCGGATGGCCATACCTTCTTGAGCTACTTCGTGGATCAAGCCCGAGAGCACAAAGACGGCCAGGACTGAAGCGGCTCGACGCGGCTTGGATGGTACTCGTAACAGCTTCAGGAGGGCGTTGGTAGGTCGATATGCAAGGTTGAGGAAAATGTACCGGAAGAAGGAGTGCCATCGCTTGCCCCACAGCTCGTTCAACGAAGTCGACTTCCACGGAGCATCCAGAGGCCTCGGAGCCCATGTCGCTTGCGTGCTGGGAAAGATCGCTACGAAGATCAGGGCCAATAGAGTGTGATAGGTTTGAAGGCTGTCAGAAGGTGGTGCAGACCAGCGAAGTTCAAGTTCAATTAGCCAAAGTAAGACGTCGCCCTGGAGAAAAATTCGGCACTCACATGCACCCAACTAGAACGCCTATGCAAAATGTGACTGATCGTAGGAGGGAT